CTGGTGAAAATTTCATGTCATTAGCACCTCTAGTAATATATTTACTGAGAAAAATGGTGACGTGTTCAATACTTATTTTACCCGCTGTAATTGATAATGTACGGTAGCACAATCATTCTCCAGGCGTGTGCACAAACATCCGATTTTAGCCTGGGGTGTCAGCAAACAAACTTCTTCTAATGCAAATGTGTTATATAAATTTGAAGCGCGCGCGCCTCCTACTGCTCTTGGGTCARCACTACTACACAGGCCTCAGTGGTCATTTTGACCAAAGGACAGCAGGAGRGTTAAAAARGTRAACTTTATGTTCCATCATAACAGAAGTAACAGTGGACTTCCTTTTTCTCACAGTTTTTGGATTTAGGTTTTAATTTTGTAAATGGATAGAAGTTATTCCCAAACATTTTTGTAATTGCAGGACCTTGCAAAGACAAGAGATTTGTTTAATTTCCAGAAGCATAAAACCTTTTGAGTTTAGGGTGTATTTTGTTACCTTCATTAGAAGTAAGAAGAAACATAAACTGAACAGAAAAGCAAAGCATTCTGACCTGACTCCAACGTCAGAGGGGAAGTAGATGTCACACACACATGCACATGGAAAGACGTGTCGTGCATCCTGAATCACCACAGACACAGAGCTAACGCGTTTAGGCCAACACGATGATGTTTCATCTTGAAAGGGAAGCAAAAAAAGCCTTCAGAAATGCCACGTTTTATTACAATTGCATCAACTTGTAAAAAAGAGACAGAATGTCTCTAAGAAGGATGTGATGCAACATGTCGTTACACACTCTTCTGCAATATTATTATTTTTTGTAGTTGTGAGGTTTTGGCATGGTGTAATCATGTTCATGTMATCAAGGACTGATAAAGATTGCCCCACATTAAATATCTTACACAGACACCTGAGCAGGAACTATGAGTGTGTTTATTGTGGCGGTGTCAACAGAACTCTTCAGACAGCAGAAGTCTGCTCCCTCATGCTCACTCCTGTGTCACCTCTGCACAAGTCACCACAGTCACTGATGGAGGGAAAGCCAACCCTCTGTTCGATCCATCGAGCGACACAAAGCAGCTTTTTGTCCTCCAGGGCTGGACCTACCAGCTGTAAGCCAATAGGAAGGCCCCGTCTTGACAACGCAACTGGCACAGACACAGCAGGAAGACCTGAGTGAAAAGAAAAAAAGAGAGAGAAAAGAAAATGTTGGTTAGCAGGGAGAGAGAGGCAGCTTAGTTCAACACAATATTAAACACTCATTTCAGTCTTTAACTATCAAGCTCTAGCAACCTCAAAGATGCTAAAGCGTTTCTTGAGAAAAGGTTTCTAGTTACAAATTTGGGTGTTTTTATAGTATTTGTGTGGCTTCATAAAGCAAAACACAACTTCATGCCACAAGTTCAGCCTGAAAGGCTTTTGTTGTCTCCTTTTCTCTGTACCTGCTAGGTTAGCAGGCTGGGTGAAGACATCTTCTTCTGCGCAGCGGGTGCGGTTGTCTTCCTGTGTAAACGCGTGGTAACGGGCTGCATCAGTCAGCGTAGTAGGTGTCAGCAGCACGTCGACACCTGACGCGAACGCTCGCCTGAAATCGTCTGCTATTAGCCGGCGCACTTTCTGGGCCTTCACAAAGTAGTGCTGGTAGTTCCTTCAGAAAAGATGTACGAATGAACAGGAAATTCTTAAAGTACTGTTTTAACATAAGATGGTGGTTAATGATTTTTTTTCCCATTAGAAACGTTCTGAGTAAAAATGTGGCGTTTGAGGAAAACAGAGAAGTGAGAGCAGAGAAAAGGTCAAACTGATGGTGTTTGGTTTAAGAACAGCTTCAGTTGTCTGCCTTACTGTTTAAGTAGGAAGTAGTTGCCGGAAAGTATCCTCCCTCTGACCACATCGTTGAAGCCCTCGTGGCGAGTCGAGGCATACATGACCTCAGTTGACTTGTCTATGTTGCTCCGGTGGCCTGACCGAAGAGTCACCAAAAACACAATTAGTTCTTTTTGTTATATATAAAAAACTATTGGGAACCTCATTGGGGYTCAGAAACGTACCGTATTCCAGCCCATCAAAGCGGGCCATGTTGGACGCCACCTCAGCACAGCACAGGACATGGTAGCACACGATGGAGTACTGGGTGTGTGGGAGGGAAACTTGCTCCACTCGGGCTCCTGCTCTCTCAAACAAATCTGCTACACGACTCCACTGAGCTAGAGTTTCCTCGGACAGGCCAGGGGCGTGGTACTCCTGACGGATCAGGAGAAACACAGTTAGACCCTGATGACCTTCTTCACATGTTCATTTCTATTTCACGTCGACTTGGTTTCATTCCAACTCAAAAACCCTCTCCTGGATTGAGTGAACTTAGTTGTAGCAGAATGAAAAGTACAAATACTGTATATATATCATTCTGATACCCTATTAGTTTGTACGATCCATCACACCTGTATAACACAACTCATGTCATACTCCAGCAGGACATATCAGACATATGTAGCTTAGTATGAAGATGATCATAGCAGAGCTATATATGCAGCTGAAACCAAGAACATTCCAAAATTTTCAACATGATATTATAATCATTATGACCTTTAGGAAAAAAATGTTTTTGGGAGGTGGGGATGTGCACTAAAGTTCTTAAAAAAATAAAATAAGGGGTGCAACAATAAATGTACCCGTATTGAACCGTATCGAACAGTGCTTTAGGTTCAATACACACTTGTATCGAACAATACAGATTGTAAAAATTTACTTTATCAACTTGTCTTCGGAAGATGCTCKGTGTTAAAGGATCAGTRGATCTGTGTTCGACTACTCCACCTAGGCTGCATTTTTGAGCGCAGATCCACTGAGAAACTTGCTGTTTCAGCAACATTTAATTTAAAAACTGTACTCTTGAGGTTAAACAAATGTTCACAATTAATTTAAATAAATTACAAGTTAAAAGGGGCATGGAAATTTCTCTTTTTTTGTATCGAAAAAATATCGAACCAAGAGACTAAAGTATCGAACCGAAACGAATCGTGAATTTTCTGTATCGTTGCACCCCTAATTTTATATTATATAGATCTTTCAGCCCAAGAGAGGAATCTTACAAACTTTAAAAGCTTTCAGATGCAGATAAAATACCTCATCCTATCAAAAAAAAAAAAAACCATATATTATTAAAAGTTAAAAAGCAGATGCAGAGATTGCTTTTTACGCTTCAGTGTCTGTGTGGCAGAGGATGTTTATATTTTTATTGTATGGTTAATGGCTGCTATGAAAAAGATTGTCCCTGCCACTGCTCTTGTTTCAGTGTGTGTGTGTGTGTGTGTGTGTGTGTGTGTGTGTGTGTGTGTGTGTGTGTGTTCAAAATTCACTGAAACGGTCTTTCTGCGGCTGAGTGGTGTATAAACCACAGGAAATGCTGCTCAGAAAGGTCTTGCCACATTTTTCTTCCTAACTGCACCATATTGAAGCCAGCATACAATTCAAATGGGTGGAGAGAGGGAGTTTTTTTTCATATTGAGTAAAGCTGCTATTTTTTCATATCTCAGAAGTCTAAACATGTTAATAAACAGTTTATTCTTACGGCTACCACCACATTTATTTGCTGGGCAGCCATGTTGGATTTTAAAAGTTCATTCCAATCTTCAAGTTGAAAGGAGCTGCACCATAAGTGTTTATGCACAACGCTACAGATGTTCTTTTTCATGCCCTGACTGCTCAGACCAGACCAACAGTTGGACCTGGTGCCAGCAGCTAACAGTTGTGTAAAGACTTTGTGAACAAAAAGCTGCAGTATGAAMAGCCTCAGCCATTTTTCAGAGGAAGTATGGTACACGAACCCACCTTAGGGATGCCTACACAGATGTTCTTGACATCAAAATCTTCAGGAAGGTCTGTTAGTGACGTCGGAGCAGGAACTGTGGTCGAGTCCCTAATATCAAGGCCTTGGAGGACACCTGTTTGACATATCGCTCAGGTTACRTCTCCGCTGTCAGGGTAATGTCACATCCTCAGCAGCGTGGAACAGCCACACTGATTAACATGTTGAATATTTATCCCATTTCAGAAAATAATGATCATTTTGAATGAAAATGTTGCAAAACTGAAACAAGCTAAAGGAACTGACATGGTCTAAACCAGTGGTGTCAAACTCCTCTAGGTTGAATTACCTCGTCGAATCCTATAGAAGCCTGGTAAATCTCATATTCATGCAAATCAGGGGTGTTCGAGTTAAGAAACCTCTACAACATGCAGGATACCGGCCTTCGAGAACTGGAGTTTGACACTTGTGGTCTAAACTAAAGGAATGACTTCTTCCTAGTCATTCATTAAAGTGTCTGTGACATCAGATTTTTGTAATAAATATGAATGTTTTTTCAGAAAGACAACATTAATAACATATTACAAAACAAATTTTACTCCGCTCAGATGAACTGTTGTTGAGATATTTACATGTGAATTAACAGGAAGTGATGTCAAAGGGGAATGTCTGCATGTGAACARAGTGTTATTAAAATAGCTAACAACACAGACTGTAGAGAAGAATTTGATGTTTCTTCAATTTATTTTAAGTCACTATCAGAGAGAGCTGAAGAGTCAGAGTTCAAATAATAGTGTTTCAACGAACAAAGACCAAGGAGTCCCTTTTCTTAAAGAGTTCCCCTTTGATGTCACTTCCTGTTTCACTTTTGTTGAACCTAGTTCAAAGAAATAATGCCAGTTATGTGACAAAATGGGAAAAAATTGTGTGTTTTATGCCAAATTCCTTACATATAAAGATGTTTTCTTTGACCTTTTGTATATGAAGAATATATAAGTCACAGGCACTTTAATGTTTCTATATTTTAATGGCTGAATGGCTACTGTGATATTGACTGAGAGACTTAAAACATAATGAGAAACATGACAAAACATAAGAAATTTCCTCTTCATTTTTTTGTTAAACTTTGACTTTTCTGATGAAGCATGATGATGCCACTTTTTCACAGAGCAATAGCATTGCACTTGAAATTTTATTAACAACATTCAATGTTTCTCACCTAAGACGGTGGCGACATCATTGACACTGCGTGTGATTATTCCAGGGACATCCATGGAATTGACCAAAGGGATGAGGCCGTGTCTCGACAGAAGTCCGTAAGAAGGCTTCAGTGCCACGACGCCACACAACGATCCCGGATTGCGAGTAGAACCGCCTGTGTCTGAACCCAGAGCCCTGGCGGGTAATTACCAAAACATTTGTAAGCTTCAGTTTGAATTCATCCATTTTTACTTTCCGTACAGTGAAGCAGTGAAGGGGTTTCCTCACAGGTAGCTGGTAAGTGAGGCCACAGCTGCAGCACTTCCGCCTGAACTTCCTCCGGTGACGACCCAGTCAGAGTCAGGCGATGCCGCTGTGTGAGCTCTGTAGGGAGCAGCGTAACTCCATGGGTTCTTGACTGGACCAAAAGTCCCGTCAATACTGCCTGAACTGGAAAAAAAAAACCAATTGCATAAGTTTTACACACTTATAAATTTGCAGTGATTTGTAGAAGTAAATTAGGTTTGACATCATTCTTACCCCATGGCAAACTCATCCATGTTTGTCTTCCCCATCAGAACCGCCCCTTGGTCCAAGAGTTTCTGTACCACTGTAGCGTTGTATGGTGGGGTGTAATCTATGGCACACAATAAAAGGTTGATATTTGTAGCAGATTCTGATAGTAAATATGAGACAAATTAACCTTATGACACCAACCTTTAAGCATTCTAGAGGCACACGTCGTCTTGACATTCTCAGTGCAAAAATTGTCCTTGACTGCGAAGGGGATTCCATCCAGGGGACCTTTGGGGACACCTAAAGAAAGACAATGGCAAACATTAACACCTTCGACTCCACACAAAGATAGTTTAGATACAGGTGTACGTGTTTACACCTTGGCTCAGTCTGATTTCGGACTGTTGAGCTTGTTTCAGAGACAGCTCCTCAGTCACAGTGATGAAAGCGTTAAGATGCTGGGTCTTCTTGATGCGATTCAGACACTTTTTACAGAGCTCTGTAGGGGAGATTCTGCTTTCCCTGAATGCCAGGGATACCTGGAGAATGAGGACAAAACATTAATTATGGAAGTTATTTCTATAAATACACTTTTAGACTATCTTGGTAAATATATATTATATAATGTGTCTTATTAAGAAGAGATAATAAATGAACAATCACTCAAACATTCATCTACAATGTCTTTCACATTTATTTCACTGTTCAGCTTGATTACAAATGAACAGACAATTATATAAAGTGCTCACAGATGCATAAATAAAGGTAATTATTAGTGCAATCTTCACTTAGATTAAATAATTGACACTGACTGAGATCTGAACTTACATTTATTTAAAGAAAATAAACATAACCACTACATTTACACGTGTTTTAACTGAACAGTAAGGATAGCATTTGAATGTAGCTGTCCTGGGGAGAGAAAACATCTTTACCTGAACTTTCCTTACAAAATAAAAAAAAATGTCAAATTTATATGAAACTAGTTTTACGCTCCAACACACACCAACAAGCAGTCGTACTCACCTCCTTCAATGTTAGGCTGAGCATTTTTGCCGTTTTTAATTTCCTTATATTAGCCTTTCAAACCAAAAACAACCTTAGCACAGTGTGCTACAAACAGAAGGCCGCCATGTTTGCTCTTCCTGACAACGTCTTCCAAGCTCGTCTGTGATTGGTCAGAGGCTGAAGAATCTGCGCTCTGATTGGCGGAAGTGCTTAGCTTCTCAGGACACCGGTTGAGGAAGGTGTGTTACCGAAGGACAAGTCGCTGTTTTTAATGGGTTCATAGGTTTTTAAAAGCTGCATTTCTCTTCACGAGTAATTAGACGTGTTTTGTATTATGATAACATGCGTACAGTGAGAAAGCTGAAGTCACCTTTAAAAAGAGCTTTATCATAATTCAGCTTCAAAAGTGCATGTTTTTTTTTTTTATTATTTTTTTCCACCTTCGGCTCGTTGAAGATGAGTTCTGTCGGATGTTTTTCGCGCAGAACGTTGTTTCACCTGAATAAGTCATTATGCAGGTACACAGCCATTCCAAGGCATAAGAGCCAGAGGAGACTGATCAGTACTTGTAACAGACGCATGAGCACCATGCCTGCATGGGTTATTGACAGATATGGAAGCAATGATGTTTTACGGTTCACCAAAAACGCCAACTTCCCTGTCATCCTGCGTCCCAACGAGGTCGTTGTAAAGGTGCTTGCAGCTGGACTGAACCCAATCGATGTCAGCATGAGAGGTGAGTTAAAAGCTGCTTGCAATTTATTTTAACATGAAAGACTGCTGTTTTTAATGTTGATCTCTTTTTGCCTGTAGATTATAATGGGTTCTGATCAGAAACTCTCCTCCCATCAGGTGGCTACGGTGCTGCTACGCTGTCTGTGAAGAGGGACCCTCTAAGCATCACTCAGGCAGGCACCGAGTTTCCTCTCATTCTGGGCAGAGATGTGTCTGGGGTCGTCATGGAGTGCGGCCTGGATGTGATTTACTTCAAAGAGGGAGACGAGGTAAATAGCAGTTAGCTGCAGAGTTCAATTGTTTAAAAGAATTCACTTGAGTACTACAGGTAGGACTGGGTACTCATAACTACTTCATACAACCTCAAAGACGCATCACGGGGTGTTAGCCGGACCAAACAGGTGTAATTATATAAAAGCGTTTTCTTGGCTGAACAGCTACATCACACTGCATCACAGCTCCTTGACTCACAGTTCACAGACCTTTGGCCACACACTCCAGTTTGTCATATTGATCTTCATACCATAATTATGCACCGTCATCTCACCGATATTTGGAAAAAAAATGACATAATAACCATCTGTTTCATAACTCTGCTCAAGTAGATATTAGTAGCTCTTAAACRTCTTGTAACCAACCAGGATTTTTTTTTACATTTACCTCTTTCCCATACTGTTTCTTTCTATTTTACATAAGATCCTCCTTTAATCAGTTCAGACATGAATCATTRGATCAAAATTGCAGATTTAAAATATAATACTCATGATAAAAATGGTTCTTTATCTGATATTAAAGACAAAGATCATATTTTCATATCAGTTTATGGCCTTTTTTTGTCTGACAGATGACATCATGCTAAGGGACTTTTTTTGCATGCATGTTAGTATGAATACAGATATTAATCAGCCATGTTTTAAGACGTCCTGAAGATATATTCTGCTTTTTCTCACACTCGTTTGTTGTGGAACTTCCTCAGCACTAAGTCACTTGAACTAACCATATATATATATATATATATA